CACTAACTAAATAAAACGCAATTGTATAAACTGATCACAACTTAGTGGTGAGTTGAATGAGCTGGCAGGGAAGGCTGCTAAACAGAACTGGTAAACCCAAGTGAATAACAGAGGTCCTGTCTGTGAGGTCCTTTTGGATAAATCTTGCATACTGGGGGCAGTTGGGGACATGGGGTCCAAATGGCCATTTTCAGGACCTCCACTATCAAACCAGTGGGCAAGAGCTAAAGCCACATGATCATTTGTGCCTGTGGTGGTGGTGGTGGTAACCTACAGACCCACTAGTGGCCCGTGGCAGTGAGGGAATAAATGAGGCTGGCATGGGCTTCCCAGGCTTGGTTGACCTCAAGGGTCTTCTGAGGTAGCAGATGGGTGTTGGAGGACCGGCCTGTGGCTTTGGCAGCTGCAGAAGCAAAACCTGGGAAGAGCTAGCCTGAAGGCAATTCAGGCAAGCTGTGAGAGGACTAAGTATCATCTAGCGGTGAATAGTATGTTTATGACCGAAAAGCCCGAGTTATGATAAAACCACACACATAGTGAAGAAGTTATGAAGTGTAACTTTGACGTTAACAAATGTGGATTGCTGTAACAGACAGTCAGTGACTTGTGTGGCATACTGAGACATTCCTCAACATACCTGGGATGAGTGTCTCCTGGTACCTCACAGTTAGGCAGGCAGGTGTTTCCATGTGCTGACAAAGGCAGTGGGGATCAGTGAATAAGGTACAGTGGTGATGGAGTTCCAACTATCTGACGTGGGATCGTAACAGTCCAGAGTTTTACACCGCTGCGTCCCAAAATAACCTCCAACCACATAAAGCTTATTCCCCGAGGCCACGGCATGGCAGCTCATCCGTTTGGACGTCATGTCGCCCACTCGAGTCCATTGATTGGCTTCACAGTCAAAGCGATAAGCAGAGGCAGCTGTGAATTCTGTGTCGCCGCCCATGATAAAGATCTGGCTTCCCAAGACAGCGGCTGCCGTGTAGCGCCAGGGCTGAGGGCACTCGGCAGCAATGTTCCAGCGGTTTCCTACGGGGTCGTAACACTGGACCTACAAAATAGCAAGCAGGGAATTATGCAGCTACAGTGCCATCTCCAACAGCACAACACTCACACTAAATGCAGTATTGTTCTTTTACATCTTTATTACACAATGACTGAAACAAAGAACAATAACTGGTCTTTCAAAGAAAGGTATTGTCAATTAAATTCATACAGTGTTGGTAGAGATGCTTCAGAGAGGCAGGTAAGTAACAAAGAGGACCAACCTTGGAGGCTTTGTCTCTGTGTATGGTGGTCCCTCCAAAAACAAAGAGTTTGAGTTTGGCAGAGACCACAGCAGCGTTACTGACGCCATCTCTTAGTGGAGCCATCATGGTCCATTTGTTATTGAGAGGGTCATACCGCTCCACCTGGTGAAGAAGTTCGATACACTTAACACTTTAGTTTCATGTCCCTGTAAAGTTTGATCATAAAACAGTAAAATGCAAACCGAGCAGCTGGTCAAGCATCAGCGAAATCTCTGCACATGGTAAAGCTGTTCTTCACTCTTCTTGCCAACAGACAGTCTTTAAACTTGGCAGGAGTGTTACGGATGACCTGCTATACACCTAACCCTGCGCTCCACCCTGCCCAATAAAACATGTTTACATTGCCTATAAAGTTTTATTTTAACACCTGTCAAGGTGCAATTTTCTCACTGTCATTTATTATTATAATTTAACTATTCTGTAAGACTTTAACAGAGAATGCACTTTTGTGCAAAGTACCACTTTCTGTAACTTCCTGTCAGTTTAAAGTCAATGCATATACGCTTTTGTGGCTGGCTGTGAAATTTACAGAACAAATAAACTGTACATAAATATACATAAATTGTCAAAAAAATCTGCACTTGTCAGTTACAAATAAATAATTGTTTATTTCAGTTTTAGGTAGAAGTCATTGCTTTTCAGACCTGTTTCAGAGAGACAGATGGTGAGGCAGGGAAGACACCAGCTATGGCTGTATGCCCTCCAACAACATACAGACTGTTCTCCAGCTCAGCTGATCCATGGCCAAACCTGTGGAAGGGAAGCAGCATGTTGTGTGAACTTCTGTCAGTGATGGGTTTGCGATGGTGCACTTTGTATTAAGCACTTTCTATATAGCTAAAGTAAGTTTAAACACTTTTCTATACACAGCGTCTAACCACACAAACTATACTTCTACCATCCAAGTTGCATCCAAAACTCATTTTATCCTGGAGCTCCTTAGAAAGCCTTGGCATCTGCCACAGTTTATGACATATCTGCCATGTTTACAGTCATGCTAACACTTTTTAATCCGTTCAAACATAATAGGGTGAAGTGAATGAAACGCAATCTGAAGCACAGATTCACAAAGATAAACGTTGCAGCAGGAAAAATTGCCTTCTAAGCGATTTCTGGTTCAGTGGCAAGAGCAACGTCTGTTTTGTGATAATTTCTTATTGTTAAACAATTGCCAAGTACAATATATACAACTCTAGAATCTCACTTTGCTTTGGGCAACACATTTAGACCAATAAATGTCCATTTACACTCCAAATTTAACTGCAAACCTACCCTAAAAATTGGACAGTACTACTACATTGATCCAGCATTTCCCATAAAGCAACAAACAGCATACCTGGCTATTAGCATGGGTGCCCCTTTAGACCACTCTTCATGGACAGTGTCATAGATCCAGACGTCTTTAGACACTCCATTCTCTGATCCTCGACCTCCTGTCACATAAACCTTACAACCAATGGCGCAGGCACTGAACTCCTTTCTAGGGCTGGGAAGGTCTGCCTTCGGTATGATCTCCTTGGCTTTATGATCAACCTATAGATTTGACATAAATATATGAACATCAGAAGTGGCCCAGTTGTTGCAGTCAACATAAAATGAGACAGAGGATGAGAAATACATAAAGATGAACTGGTGAATTAAATAAAGCGGAGTTAAAATTCACTCTGAATTTGTTTCCATGTTCACAAAGGACACGAAGACGGGTTATGTCGATGTATTATGAGGTTAATCCTCATAACTCACCAATCAATGGAATTTTTATGTCATTTCCCCACTGATATATTAAATTAGTATTAGTCATTGTGCTGAGATTGAATTCAATCAGCAAGGAGAGTTTTGGTTGTGAAAACCCGACTGTGTCGGGGTTGAGATGGAGAAGATCACAGCAGAGACAGGAGAGATGTTTTACACAGGAGAACAATTAAATACAGGATGAATTAGTAGATCTATAGGTGTAAGCTTAAAATGAAAGAGCCGTTAAATGTCATGGCTTAATAACATAGCAGTTCAACTCACATCAGCCTGAGAGAAGTGACGCTGACAGTGCATTACATAAAATCACACCACACAAGCAGAAAGGTCCTTTTACCTGATATATCTTGTCACACATGAAGGTTTGGCCTCCGAGTATAAGTAGCGTATGTCCTGCCTTGCGTGGTCGGGCACAAGGACTAGTCACTACTCCATCATTCTGAAGGATTTTCTTCTTACACTGCATTGCCTCTTCTACTATGGACCTGCAGGACAGTCAGCACATCAGCTGATACTTACTGAAAGTGTGGAGAGTCTGTCAAAACCACAGCTGCTAGCTGATTTCTGTTTAAATTCACACTCCTATAATTTCTCAAGAATATTTTAATAATATTTGAAAAATATAAATAGTAACAACAACAAAAAAAGATAACACAAAAGGAAACTGAACTGATACACAGATACATGGGAATCTATATCAAAGCAAGTCCGACATGATCTCCTCTGTGGTTTCATGTAAGTGATAATGAAATGTTTTATTTTTGCTTGATTGATGTAAAAGCCTGTATGCAGAGAGGTTGTGATACCTGGAATCACCCTGCAGGACATCCGTTTCATGCTCTGCATCAGAACTATATTAAACTGTATCGCCCCATCAAATACAGTTTGAATGAATAACTAAATAAAAGCAGGAATCAGTGACATTCTTGGTTTATTCTAAGGTAGAGTAGTTGCTGTCACTTTTGAGTGAACCTGGGTTCAGGTGGTCCATGGCTCACAGGGTGTCACAGATCTGTGATGATTGAGTCACAGTCACAGCGAGGCTGCTCGGGCTCAGCTGTGTAATACCTTTCAAAAAAGATTTTGGCTTGGACTTGGAGACATTTCAGACAATTTGTATTCAAGTGATGGAAAAGTGATATCATATCAACTGTGCATGAACCCGGTTTTAAGATTGGTCTTCAAACTCTGTTTCTGATAGAGCCAACGAGTAGGGCAGGATCAAGTGACCCTGGGAAGATGCTTTAGCTACACTGCTGAGGGGCTCCCCATGATGAACTCTACCTCCTTTCACTCCTTTCCTCTACTCACTTGTGTGTATATGCCACTATTGCATTAATTGTTATTAACCATCGTCTTCTCTCTTCCATTCAATTTTTGTGGTCTGCTCCTCTTTTACATCTTTATTACCTTTTAAGCCTAAGAAACTTCTTGGTCTGTAACACTTTTCACTCAGACTCACCTCATATGAAAAGCTAGTATTGAATGTGAAAGCTTAAATGTGAGATGAAACAAAGTGAAATAAAGAGAAGACACAAAGTTTACATGGTCTTGGTCTTATGAGCCTACCTGCTCCTCTTGTCAGCCATAATCAGCTCCTCACAAGCTACAGCCTCCAGCAGACACTCCGAAGGCAGCAGAGCCAACCTTATGCCTGTCAGCAGCTCTGGCAAATGAAGACGCCGACGCTCCAAGTCGTATCGAACCCACCGCATCACAGAGTTAAACACAACCTGCCATGAGTCAAATTACCAGCCAACATCAATTTATGGCTTCCAACACTGTACGAGAAGCATTCTGCGGTTTGGTTGGTATTTGGATGAAAAATCACTTCCAAACACAAATCAGTACGCTCTGAAGAAACACGCAGACACAGGAGAGTCCCCGCGAGTGACGACACTCACCTGCTCATCTTCTATCTCCAGCTCGTCACTCAGAATCAGCTCCAGCAGCTGGTCTTTGGACAGACTGTAGAAATCCTCAGACTCTCTGACCTGAAAGCACAAATACTTATGTTATATGCAACATACACACTCTCTCACACAAACACACACTTTATTCAAAAAAAGGAAACTTTCCTTTATTTATTAAGTAAAACCTTTTAAGCCTTTGTTTCCATTTTGATCATTCTGGTTTATAGTGCATAAAACCACAAATCCTCCATCTCTGTCATGGTCTCCGTGCCTGCCCGGCCGGCCCCACAAGGCTACATGTGTTGTTTGGTTTTCTCTCTCTCCCTCTCTGCCTGGGCGGAGCTCACTGTGGGCTCCCACCCTTGGCCCACACACCTGACAACAATCAGCTGTCATCACCTAGGAGCACTATTTGAGGCTGGAACACAGATCCTCTCGTCACTGGATGATTGTACTACAGACGTTAGTGATGCTTTGTGAGTGACTTCGATTTCTTCTGCTACAGAGACTTTCCTCCCTGCTGTGTGAACGTGTGTGAGTTTGGGCAAGAAGACGTGAGCGAGTGTGAGAGAGCTTCCCCGTGATTCCCTGGAGTTTGGATTTCCCTTCACTGTATATATCGTGCACTAGTGCTGTAAGTAAACTGTTTTTGGAGACGTCTAACCGCTCTGCGCTTGAGTTCCTACTACCAGATTGTGACAATCTCAGATTACTAAAATATTCCACAGGATCAATCCCCCCACAAATCTGAAACATATGTTCATTTGTTCACTCAGTATTTTTTAATAAACTTAGAGAAAACAAGAATAGTCGTCTTTACCGTCTCATAGTGCACCAGACACATCCTCCACGACAGCTCGTACAGTCTTTTACACTGATGAGCATCTGACAACAGCATCATTCCCAAGCAGTTGGACGCGTGCAGGTTTTTTTCTAAGAACTCTGCTGCTGCATCCCGAATATCGTGGAACTGCAGCATGTCGCCAGCCTCCAACAACGACTCTGCATTCTCCTCATTTATGATCACTCGGGAAGAGTAGGCAAAGTCCAACAGAAGCTCCAGGACCTAGCCAAATAGGCCATTGGAAAATTAGCCATGCACATTACAGGACATATAACAGCGTGATACACTGCCTAAGACCAAAACACACTAAACGTGGGCACGTGTACTGGTGAATTTTAAGAGATCAAAGAATGGAAGAAAAGAGGAAGCAGGCAGTTTGTATTGTGGCTATTTGCATATGTGTGCTATACATGCAGCATTTAATGCGAGCCTGCAACCTCAGCCAGGTCTCCATTGGAAAAGACACTTTGATCCTAGTTAGAAATCTTCCTAAACTAAATCCTAATAAATTAGAGTAACAATAATTTTTCAGTGTCACCTGAGCCAAATCGAATTACAAGGACAATCTGAAGCCATTACCTAAACAGGATGACAGCCGATACCTGATAGCTGAAGGACATGCCTCCCATTCCACTTTTAGAAACTAAAAACAAGTAAACCTGCAGTCTGAGAGCAAAGCTCTGCTGGGATATCAGGATACTATAAGGTCTTTGACACATGATGAACCCCGATCACTTCCTCTTGAAAAATTAGTTTGCAACAGGAAGAAATTTAATGTGAATTCTGGATTTAAGGAGCCTGTGAAGACCAGCTAATATGGGAGACAGACGATCCCTCTTTCTCATCCCCGCTCCACTAAAAGCTTTCAGAGCAGCCCAGTAGTAAGGAATGAGCCAGTCCACAGTGAGGTGGCAGAGGAGGTTATGAGATCCCTCATGATTCTGACCATATTGTGCAGATGAAAGCCTGCTGTCCTTCTGATTTCTTTAATGTGAGAGAAAAAGGACCTGCTATGAAGTGGTTCAACCCTCTCTGTCCTCAACTCTTTACATGTATATTTCTTTACACTTATATTTCCTGTCCTCTAAAGATTAAACTTTAAGGCATACAAAATTAAATAGCATCCGACTTCAGGTTCATTTTATTGGATGTAGCTCAGGAGGTAGGGCAAGTTATCTACTAAGTGGGAAGTTGGTGGCTTGATCCCTGGCTCCTCCAGTCTGTGTGCTAAATATCCTTGGGCATGGTACTAAGTTGCCAAGTTGCTCTCAGATGCATCCATCACAGTATGAATGTGGATGAATGTTAGATAGAAAGCACTTGTGCAGGAAAAGGAGAGAAAAATAGTGTTTGTGTGAATGGGTGAATGAGGCAAGTGCTTTGAGTGCTGAGGTAGAGCTATATAAGATTATATATAGATATGTTTGTTTGTTTTTAATGAAAAGAACTGAAAACAAAAAGCCACCAGAGCACGCTAACCTGACTGTTCAAAGAGAAATTCAGAGTAGTACCTCAGGGTGTATACTGTCTCTGAAATTGACGTCAGTGTCCAGGCTTTCTCGCAGCCCTCCGCTAAACATGGCTTCAAAATAACGACTACATGCTGCCAGGACAGCCCTGCAGAACACGAAAGCAGACGAGCCAGAGTGAAAGTCACAGGTTAGAAAAACAAACAAACAAAAGGGGTCATCGAAAAAGACACTGCCAGCGTGAGTTTACCTGTGGCATGGGAAAGAGCGATCGCCGGCCCACAGAGTGACATCAGTAAACATGCATTGTTTTCTCATGGCGTTCAAATGAGTCAGGACACTGTCGGGATGTGAAGGCTTGTGGAACAATGAGATGTTCATGGAGCCTGTGCTAGTGCGGGATTTCCGATTCTCGTGAACAGTCACCGACATGGCAGCTTTGCTTGGTACCTACAGCACTCTCTCCTATACTGCAATAAAAACAGGGGGAGACAAAGGAAAATACTGTCACACTGTAGACACAGCTGGGATTAGCAGTATAGATGCGTGTATGTAAGTGGTCACAGTTCTGTGCACAATACACAAGAACTAAAGATCTAACCATAACATCACATTTCTTACAGCAATGTTCACATAATGCTACACTGTATTGCCAAAAGTATTCACTCACCCATCCAACTTTCAATCACTTTCAGGGCCACAGACTATTTCTACAAACATTTGTGAAAGAATGGCTCACGCTCAGGAGCTCAGTGAATTCCAGCATGGTACCGTGATAGGATGCCACCTGTGCAACAAGTCCAGTCATGAAATTTCCTTGCTACTAAATATTCCACAGTCAGCTGTTAGTGGTGTTATAACAAAGCAAGGTCCATAAAGACATGAGTTTGATGTGGAAGAACTTGACTGGCCTGCACAGAGCCCTGACCTCAACAACAGAACACCTTTGGGATGAATTAGGGTGGAGACTGTGAGCCAGACCTTCTCGTCCTCATCAGTAGCTCACAAAGGTGTTTCTGGTAGAATAGTCAAATATTCCCATAAACACAGTGCAAAGCTGTGAGGCTTCCCAGAAGAGTGGGAGCTGTTATAGCTGCAAAGGGTGGGCCGTCATCATGTTAAACCCTATGGATTAAGAATGGGATGTGACTCAAGTTCATATGCGTGTGAAGGCAGACAAACAAATACCTTTGGCAACACAGTGTGTCTGTGCCCTGAATGAGTTCCTCTGAGTGTACTCCAGGATCCCAGAGCGTTGAGGAAATGTTCCAAGCTGTCTCTTAAGTTTGAAAGGATTGGCTCATGGGACCAGTATGGGGAACTATTAAACATGTTTAATAAAATGCACTTATGCACAAGTGACAGCTGCAGATGAGCAGCACTCTGAGATATCTGGAAAGTAACAAAACATGTTGAGGTGTGTTCTTTGACAGACAGCGTGCTCCTAGACTGGCTTGATTTTTTTTTTCATTTTTATTTATTTCTTATATGGACCATGTACAAAATGCAATAATAAAATAAAGGAAACACACACACACATACACACACAAAAATGTCAACTGGTTTATGCCCCACAATATTTTCAGGGACGGGCCTTTAAGGTGTTGCAGATAAATACAACAAAATAAAACCAGCAGAAGAAGATTTATTCATAATACACAGGAAAAGACCCAGGGAAAGAAAGTTAACAATAAAGACCGATAGAAACCCAGAAAACCATAAATTTCCCACCCGAGCCTCAACTCTTGCGGCCCGGTACCAAACGCCTCACGGACCGGTACCAGTCCGTTGCCCCGGGGTTGGGGACCGCTGTCCTAGAGTGAGGCACAAATGTGACGTGACAATGGTCAAAGTGAACAGTGAAAGCACAAACTGTTTTTTCGCCTTTGGGCAACACATTTTAGATTGTGGAGGTCACTCCTCCTTAGGGATGGCTAACACCATCCCCGTCGGCCAATCCAGAGGCACTGCACCACATCACATCAGTATTTTAACATCCAGGGCCTTAATTAATCTCAGCACAAACCTCCTCCACCCTGGAGAGCTGGCTAACAAGGAGCTGTTAAACTACCTCAACTAATACATAACGGGTGAGTTATCCACCTCATCAGTCACCTGATGATTTGCCAGAGCTGCTTTTGAGGGATTCTGTTCTGGTCTGCTGGAGGTGGGAATAGAAGATCCTCTGTCAGATATTTCCAGCACTTCGTCATTATACATTATGCCTGTCCAGTATCCTCCTCAACCATCTGCTCCAACTCACTGACAGCTCAGCTCCTCTCTTCACCCGATTACAAAACTGGACCTGCAACCTATAGTGTCCTGGTGCCATGTATATTCTCTCCCTCCTTCAGGTCACACTGTTGTCTCCCAGTAGAGCAATGGACATGACACCCTGGGTTACTCTAAACACCTAATGAAGTTACTGATGTAAATAAATAGAACACAATATTTCCTCTCAATTTCACTGCAGACTGATAAACAACAAAGAGCTAAAGATGGTCTTATTACAGTGGTGCTGTGTTAGCCAGTCACAGGAAAATAGGTAGACAGCAAAGACTGGAAGGAATGCTGGGTCAGCATCCCCATTGCTGCTTGTGTGTGTGTGTGTGTGTGTGTCTACATTTGCTGACACAGAGTTTTAGAGTAAAGTCATACCCCTTCAGTGACAGGGTGTGTGCATGCAGACTTGATCAGTGTGTGCTGTGAATGAACAAAGGATGGAAATGCTAGCACATTCAAACAAAGCATGTTGTGGACAACACAGCAGTGCAGCACAGCTCTCTCACACACACACGTGAGCTTCTGTGTTGTCATCTCTCCCTTTGGGAGGGCCACAGTAATTAGGGCCGTTTCTGACACACCTTCCAAGGGGATGATGGTGGATTCTGACTTGGTTTTAGGATTTGAGGTTACAAGATTTTTTTCTGACTCAGAGCGGGGCTTTGAGAGATGATTATACATTTAGCTGTCATCAGTCAACATACAGTAAAGGCAATTCATCTTTGTTACCTCATATGGCACACATAGCTGTATTTTTTTGTGGTTTCTGATTATTCCACTGATAAAGTTTTTAAAGAATCCCTGTTATACGAAGGAATATTAGAGCCATAAAAAGAAAAATATATATATTATTGTTACTTTCAAGATTAAACCTAAAATAATATTTGAGAACAAAGTTGAAATCTGGAGATTACAGTCGTTTCAAACGTGCTCGAGGCTGTAAGCATCTGTATCGTTGCATCTGTCCGGTGCAGCCATTTCATTTTGGACAAATCCGACCAACTCCTCCACGTTAGTGTGTTTTTTTTCTGCCTTCTGACCAGATGCAGCTTTCTGCACCTTCTCGTCCTTATACGCATCACCACGCTGTGTTTATGTGCTAAAACAGAAATAAGTTCAGATCAAGTTCAAATGCTTATAGCTTCATGCAGTAGGGAAGGTGTATGTTGTAGACTAAGACACAAGATATCTATTCAAGCTGTCTCACTAACTTATCTCCACAGGGTCTTTTCTGTGGCAGATGTTTGACTCAAAACAACTTTAATCTCAACATTTTGACTTTATTCTAAGAATAAACACCATTTTTTTCTTAATATGGCCCTAATACTGCATTGTACTATCAACAACAGGATTAACAGGTAGATGTTTTCTTTGGCGTTGTTTAAAACAAAGCAGTAAAATACCGTAGTTAGAGCTGAGGCTTCAGCGGTGGTGATAATAATGATTATGTTGATCAGTACTGAGATTAGTTATTGGATCAGGATTATTTTTGATCTTAGTGAGGTAAAAGGACACTGCTGCCTTCCTGTTAACTTACAAATCCTTGCATAAAAAAATAACTGGTCCTCTTTATTCACCCAAATTCAGTGCATCTCTTAGAAGGCTTCTTTCACTCCATGCCATCCGTACCTGCATGATGGATGTAAATCTTTATCTGAGCTTAAGTTTGGTGAGTCACCTTAGCAACCACTGCATTGTTTGGCTTTCATCATACTGGGGTGGCTGTAGCTCAGGTGGCAGAGCAGGTCAGCCACTAATCAGAAGGTCGGTGGTTCGATCCCAGGCTGCCTCCTGGCTGCATGCCAAATATCCTTGGGCAAGATACTAATCCCATTTTTGCCTACTAGTGGTGGTCAGAGGGCCCGGTGGCGCCAGTGTCCGGCAGCCTCGCCTCTGTCAGTGCGCCCCAGGGCAGCTGTGGCTACAACGTAGCTTGCCATCATGAATGGGTGAATGACTGAATGTAGTGTGAAGCGCTTTGGGGTCCTTAAGGACTAGAAAAGCGCTATACAAATGCAGACCATTACCATTACTGCATTTTGTGACACTCTGCTGTGCAGAGCTCGTGGTCTTCTGCTGTGGCAGACATGAGACTTTTGTTTGACAGTCTGTGATATAGAGCACCTCACTGCAGTCAGGTGCACTCAGGTAACCTCAGGCTCTGCAGTGCAGGAAAGCGCTGTGACTGACACGTAAAGCTGTGTTCTGCTGGCAGAGCGTGCATTTCCAACACCCCTCGATCACATTCATTAATTGTTTGAGCATAAAAATCATGATTGAAATTAAAATTTGATCAACTTTGCAGCCTGAGATAATGGTTAGAAGGAAGAATGTATTAAAACAAAAATGTATGTGCACTCACCAACTGCCCAGGGGATCTGCCAGTGTAATGCAAGCTTGGCGGCCTGCTCAGCCTGAGTCAACCACCTGTCGAGGAAGGGAGGGAGGGGTTAACTGATTGTTTGTAGACGCCACTCTTAGCTTAATCACCACAGTTTCAAACATATACACAATGAGCCACAGTACTTGTGCAACATTATCAACTATTAAATCCTTTTTGATAGTTCATTTGGTGATACATATATATTGCAATCAGAGGGAAGGAGTTTTCTTAACAAAGCAGCTATATGTTAATATTACATTAACACTTAGAGGACTCAGTTATGGAAACCCAGAGTTTATTAAACAGAACAAGCAATTCTTGGACCATAATCTTCTGTAAATGACTGAACCATGGTGGGCTGCTGTGGTTGTTCTTTTCTGTTCAACTTTTCACCCCATCTTTACGCGACCTTCACCAGAGGAGGCTGGTCCACAGAGGCAGGGCGCTCGCTCTATGTCCATCTTTGAGAGATGAGGGAGAGCAAAATATGCGTACAGTGTGATTGGTTCTCATCTTCTTAAGTGGTGTACAAGAAAAAGAACGATGCACTAGCTGTAGAGCAGCTGCAGCCAGCTGTTAATGCATTTCAGACAATAGGTGGAGGTCCCGCTACTGCACACTCATTAAAAACAGAAGCATGCTGGTATTTACGTGTTACTGCTGGTACATGAAGCAGTGGTGAGTGTATGTTTGGGCAGAAGGATCCTTACAGTGTGAAGTGCAGTTTTTATAAGTGCAGAAGGTTTTTGCAGGGGCCCCAGCATGGATGGGTGAAAGGGTTTTTGTGCACAGGCGCAGTGTGCTGAATGTGGGTCGGTGTGTCCAGATTAGCTGAGCTTCTTGGACACGTAAAGGCAGTATTGAATCCAGGCAACAGCATGTGTGCCCAACAGAAGGCTCATACAAACTCCACATCCAAACAGCTCACCACACACACACACGCTGTTACACACACGCTGTTACACACACGCTGTTACAGCACGCACACACCTATCGTTCACCAGTGGAATATCAACACAGAGGCTGAATAGATGGAGTGCTTTAAAGAGAGCAGCAGTCAGTAGGCCTGAGCTTGTTTACCCATAACTAACATAGCTGAATCTGTTGCCCTGAGCCACTCTGTATGTCTGTCTGATTGAGCAAGTGATTCACTAACAAGTAGCCCTCTCCTGGGGGCTGGGTCCATGTTATTTCTAGGTTATTAAAATTCCCATTTACCCACCTGGACAGCTAAGTAAAAAGCACACGTCCATGCCTGCTATGAGGAGTTAAGACAATCAAAGGTTTCCTTTTGCACTGCAGCCAAGCTTGGCTTTGTTAGTAACTCTGTGTTAAATGGCTTTGACATATAAGCACAACCTATTAAACAACTTACCAAAAACTTCAATGTGCTTAGTGAGTAAATACTGACTGACATCCACGTCAGCATGGCCCACCCAGAATTTTTATGTGCAAGAAACCGAAGAAGAAATTAGAAGCCAAAGGTTTCCAAAACCCTTAAAAAAAAAAAGTTTTTCTTAGAAAACATTTAGGACAAACGTGGTGTCACAAAAAGAAAGTAATTAGGTCTCAGATGATTTAGAGACAAAGGATAAAAGAGAGAGAGCTGCTCAGCTGTAAGACACAAGCTACAAACTCTGAGAAAAAGAAACTCTTTAGGTCAAATTTATTGAACTTTACGCTTTTTAAATATCCAAATAATTTTCTAGAAAATCAATTGTGAGGTGAGGAATCATTCCTTCTCTCCTTTCAGCTCCTCCATCTTCCCCCTCCCTACCTACTATCCTCTGTCACAACAACCCTCTGCACATCCTCCTCCACTAAATCCACGAACCACCTCTGAGGTCTTCCTCTTGCCTGGCAGCTCCATCTTCATCATAGATGAAGTCTGATAGATCTACTCTCCCTCACCTCTGTCTCAAACTCTGTCTCTAAGGTCAGAGAGACAAATACAACGTTTCAGAGTTCAAAGTGTTGTCTGATACAGCCGCTTAACTCTCACAGGCTAATCAATAAAAACAGATCACATATCACAAATTATACCAATCAAATACATGAAACATGAAACCAAGTCTTCACATGCCCACTCACATCTTTCATGCTCTGTTTCCTGACCCTGGTGCCTGACATGGACCTGCTAACATTAAAGATGTGTGCAGCTCAGCCTGCTTCAATCATTTATCACAAGTTAAATAATTGAGCAACAGTGTTGCATAATCGGAGAATAGTTACAAAAGACAAACGTGGTCCTGAGAGCGTGTGGCAGAGCTGCTGTAGCTTCCGAGAAACAAAGAGCTCCCTGACAGAAGACGAAAACTTTCACTTTAGTCCAGCAGGATCTGAGGCAACGGAGTTAGTTAGCCGTCAGTGAACATACCCCCAGTGGGCCACCAGCTCCAGGCTGTGGATGTGCTTAGGCCGGTTCCTGCCTGTGGGGCAGCCGAACATGCACTTCCACAGACCTGTCCGGAATTTCAAATGGGAAAAATCGCGTTCCGCTGGAATGGCACTGGACCAAATGGCTTCCGTTTAGCTTTGCTATGCACCAACTTGGGTGCTGTTGAGAACCTTTGCGAGCAGCCTACACTTGTCTTAAAGCTTGTCGTTCACATGACACAGACACTTCGAGTCCATACGAATTCGCAAGCTGACCGTACACAGCTCTGCCGCTGAAGCACTGACGCTAATGTGAGAACAATAACTGACAAAGCTCCACTCACTCCACGGTCTGGCTCCCACAGCAGTGCCAGAGGGAAGCTCTACTACTCACGTTCACGTCAGCTGCAGGTTAAATCCACGCAGTGTAAAGTTTCATGTCTCCGCTCACGAACAAACATCACACTCCCGTCACAGCAGCTCAACTACCTCTCCCTGTTCTCCTTCTTCTTCGGTAGCTTGGCCCGATGCCTGTCTCACTGGCTGTGGAAGAAAGCCTTCACACTGCAGCGGAACCAACAACCAATGACTTCGGACTGACTCGTTGCTGGCGTTTCTAACACCAATCCCCAGCCTCGAGATAAACTCTCAGCCAATAACGTTGCACACGGCGAGATTTTAGCGGCGGCGTCTATCGTGACTGGCAGCTACTTAGGCCAATTATCGTCGACGTTGTTGTACGAACCACAAAGTTAGCCCCAATGAAATCCCCCGAGCAGCAATCACAAACAAAGAGAGGCGGCTTTAAACACGGTAGCAAAACAACTGCTTGTCGACACTACTCTGGTTTTAAAACAATCACCTGGCTTTAAATCACAGCGACACAGTAGAAACAGACATGACTAATCTGGTGATTTAGCGCAGAGAGTAAATATTGTCATTCCAGTTAACAGTTTCATCACTGCGTGCACTGTCAGGGCTTCCCATTAGAGCTGGGAAACTTTAAACTGGATTCATTTTAACATTAGAGCCTCATGTCTCACAGCCCGATAGAGGAGACGTGGAAACACTGCAATGTGCCAGTGGTGTCAGTAACAAGTTGCACACAGAAAACATAGTCCCTCGGCTGAGAATCCATCAGACTGAATACAAGCATCAGCGAAAACATGGTGCTCCGAGCCCACTTTAAACTGAAGCATCACCTGCTGCTCACGGTGTGATGCGTGTTACTCTCTCAGCTGCAGAGTCGCTGCTGCTTATGGTTTGAGAGTAAAGATTAAATATAAAAGCAGAATTTGAACTTTGTATAAATTAGATGTCAGGTCAGAAAATTTGTGTAGGTGTCCTGTTTTAGGGTCACAAACAATTTTGCGCTCAAAAGGCGAATTATTTATTATAGATGCTCATCAGGGAAATACAGAGACATTAGACAATTAAAAAAACAACAACTTTAGATCCCCCGTAGAGTTCACACACAGAGGTCGGAGGGATCTTCCAGGGATCATGATGCTACTTTCTGGAGACCTGATTGGTCAGTAGATTTCATACCTGTTTATCTCTAATCTGGATCTTAACCTGCTCTGGAGCAAGTTACCTTCACAGCAGCAAAGATACCATGGCGATGTAGCCCCGGAAGAAGTGAATCACCTTCATAGTATAGAAGCCCAGGGTAGCCCTGAAGCTGTCTGGATAAGGCCTCAGGTCAGCTGTGTGTTGTTGTTTTTTTAAACCTCATGTTTCCTTCTTCTCTCTCTGGTTCAACACTTGGTCTTTGAAAAGCAAATGTTTCTGTTGATTATGCAACACTCAGTTTCACTTTGACATAGACAGTTTAAAGATTTGCAACCAAACATTGTGAAAGACATGGCCTTACACTGACTACCCCATGCTCCAATTTAGAAAACAGATGGGCATTGTGGCTCTGGAAAGTGAAGCTGACACATTAACGGCTACAGCAGCTGACTCTCTGCTTGCAAAAAGATCACAAACAATAAAGAGTTTGTGGGTTTAACCACTAGTTTCACATCTTACAGAAGGCAACATACAGCCAAAACTAGGATCATAATTAGAATCAGAAAGGGGGATAAATCAGAGTATGCCCAATGCATATGATTAACAAGAGGTCAGCTAGTGGCTGTGCAGTGTTTGTCTCTCAGCTAAATCTGGCCTGTGCTCCTGAGGTCAGGTTTCTAAAGGATAAAACATCAGTGGCAGACAAATCAGTCCAAAAAAACCCCTAAATTCCAAGATTCTTTATTTGTCACATGTATAATGACATATAAGTGACAACACACAGTGAAATGTGTCCTGAACTGCTCCTTGACTGTGCAAAACATTATAAACAATACGTACATTTAAATAAAAAAAACCTGAAATGTACATTGTGCAAATGGAATGTTAAAGTGCTTTGTGCCATATTAGCACAGCAGTGTATTGACAGTGCAATGCAAGTAGAATAAAGAAAATGACCAAAGTAATGTAAACAGAGTAATGTGACCAGAGTGACCAGAGTAATATAAGCAGCAGTGAAGCAGCATCCTAGTTTGGGCTGTAGCAGCATATTACGTAATAATAAATCAGATATGATATGAAATATGACAGTGAGAATCCTAAAATGTGACAAGAATATGATATAAGGCCCTGTTCAAGGCCCTTGTGGTGATGCTATGAGGGGAGTGATCTCCTGGGTGTGGGAACGGGTGCGACACAGCTACACAGATCTTATGTCTACAGTTTCAGGCTGTCACAGGCTGTTTCAGAGCTGCTCGGGCTTCTTATGTGTGTTTCTGGGAAACCTAATCTGGTCTATCTGCCCTTGAAGCTGTCAAGTATTTTGCATCCAGTAGTTTGCTCTTTATGATAGACTTGAGTAATAATATGTCTGCCTCACGGACAAAGCTTTTTCTTGGGTAGATGTTCAAGATTTTCCAAAGATGGAAAGGATGCTGTGACCATCTCAGACTGTTCTCTTCCATTGACAACCAGGCTGTTTTTGAAGTGAAGCAGAGCAGAGCAGGGTTTCTTATTATTGCACTGACCTGTAACCGTCTGCATGAGGAAGTACAAGTAGTTTTAATTTGGGCCTGTGTACAGAACGAGCAAGAGTGAATTAAATATAGATATTTCCAGGGAGATAGTTACCATATCAATACTCAAACTTAAAACAGCAGACACTTTTGGTTACGGTTAAAAGGAAGATGTGTGTCCCAGGAGGAGTCTTCCTGTAAAACAAATATTAAACTGTTAAAATTTGTGTAAATTATAATAATTTAATTTTATTTAAAGTATTAAAAAACA